TTAGTCCATCATCTTTTGCTGTTGTTGCCAGTAGACATCGGTAGTAACCATGAAATTCTCAGGTAGTAGTTCCTATTTAATGCCGCCGCAGAATCCAGCCCGACCGACAGCACCACTTTTTTACCGTCAGCTCGCCTTTCGGGACTTGTACTGACGCAGATGGCGATGAACTGATTTTTTGGAAGGTCAACGTGTGACAAAACTCCCCGCACAATTTTCTCGTGTTCTCCTACAGAGCATCCTAGTGTTGCTGATGGTGACCGCTGGCTAACTTTTTGATTTCCAATGTTCGCATATTCTTAGTTCCGTACTTTGAATCAACGGAACAAAACTGTTACCATGCCGTAACATTCGCACCGTAACATTCGTAGCATTCGCATCTACCACATTACGCAGGTTTTAACAAGCCTTGACCGCTTTGTGTCCTTGTAAGAACTCGTACAGCACGCGTTCACCGACCGTATTTCCCATTACCGCAACCATGACTGAAGTGTTGACTAATTGTTCCATGATGTCTTCCTATATACCTTTATAAAAGGATCTTCGAGAAACTTACAGGAATTTCTGGAATAGTGTCGAAAATAATTTCAGTTGATTTCGAACCAACGCGATAGTTACTGACATTCAGTAGTCTTGCCGACGACGTCTGAATTTTGAATATTACGCACCCGATCTTCCCATTCTCTGCTAACGTTGCAACGAGACTAGGCTTGAACCATCGCGATGAGTCTGGGCGTACCACGGGGCGATCACTTGCGTACCCCCGTGACCCATTGAGCTACCGTGGGTGGCACTCTCCTAGTGTCTTCGGAGCCACACATACCACGTCGGTCATAGGTTTTGGGTTAGACTAACTCAGTTTCACAATCCAATCTTCGGAGGTTAGTGGGAAGTCGATGGCCTTCCCCTCCTTAAAACAAAGCTATGGGCGATAACAGCCTTACGGGTTATAAGCTCACAGCTCCATTGGACTAGAGCACGACCGCCGCGCATTGTCCCTGACGGGGCAAGGGCGCCTCCAGATGCTCAATTGTTTGCTACTGCTCGCCTCAAGCCTGTCAGCCCCGGGTCAGATTGGTGCATACCCGCAAACTCCCACCTGGGGCTGGCCTTGGTCTCAGGTGCATAACCTAATACGGTCGTATAACCCATGTGAATTGTTCTAAATCTTCAAAGGCTGTGTGTGACAGGTCTCAAGCAGATCCCAATGGGTTTCTGCAATCAACTCCCCGGCTGGATTTGCTCCCCACTGCCTTGTGAGTCAGACTATTGACCCAAATACTCCGGGTGGTGTCCCTCAAACGAACCTCCGTGTAACCCACCGCCTTGTGGGTCAAACTGTGGAGTCAAAGCTTAGTGGTATGGCACCTCGAACCAAACTCCTCTCTCGAAATGGGCACCCAGAGACTATCATCTGCCCTATCAATCCCATCGACAATACTCCCTCTTCTTTTTTCTCCCCCACAGCTCTCTCTTCTGTCTGTCGAGCAAGGGACTGCTGCTGACCTCGCAGCTACTACCATCGCTGCATGTGGTTCTCCCATTAAACCTAAGCTTTCATTGCACATCAGTTCTCTTACTCTCCGCACTGTAGGTCAGAGCGGCCAGCAGGCGGCGCTAACTCTCATTCTTCATTTTCTTTGTATTGATGTGTGTTGAGTCTCCGATACATGCCTACAAGATGACAACTTCGTGGCGAATCTTCGATCCCCTGATTCTGAATCTGACGACGATGACTACACTCTTCGCGTCTCTGGCGACACTGAGTCAATGACTCAGGGCATTTACAGTGTTGGTATCGCCCTCAGTAAACATGCTGAAACCAATCTACTCGACTGGATGCCGGTGAAGAGCCGCATGTGTGTGGTTCGGTTTCAAATCTCTATTATTTCATTTCTCTATTGGTTAATAAGCACCGTCTGAAGACAAGGTGCCTTTTCTTCGCCTCAGTTTATGCCCCAACTGAATGCGGTTCAGAAGGAATCAAAGACAATTTCTATCGATGGCCCTCATATCTTTTTCGCATGACGAAGAATACTGACCTCGTAATTATTGATGGTGACATGAATACCCAAATGGGTCGTCTTTCGGACTACAAAAACAACTGCTAGGCTACCTTGGAGTCGATGCACCCCGAACAGGCAATAGGGATCTATTCTTGCAACCAACCACCTTTACCTTAGCAGCACCGCTTTCTAACACAAACGTCCACACCGCGTCACCTGGATTACACCGAATTCCTCAGTGGCCTGGACCAAACTGGGTGATATTGCCGTCAGCTGCAAGAGCGCACATCAGTACAAGACTGTCAGTCAATTCGGAGCATGTGCGCGTACACCTGGCGTTCACTCTCCCCGCTTCAAAGAAGCACTTTTCTTCTAACCTGACCTGTAACTTGAACTCACAGTCTACGGTTCCACAATCTCATAACGAACTGGCCCACCAATTCTCAGTGATGAATAAAGTTAGTGGGCCGAGCACTGACTGAGATCGTCTCAAATATGCCATGTAGATTGTCTTTGACGCTTGTTGTCATCTCAACTTGTGGCGTAACTGTGATTGGATCTCTGATGCATCGGTCACTTTTATCGAAGCACGCAAGCAGGTTCCAATGAGCGCTGAATTCCAACGTGTCCGTGACTCCCTGTAACGACGTCTAAAAAGGAGTCTTCGAATCGCCCAAGAACGTTAGTGGGCAGCAAGGTGCCCTTGGGATGGAGAAAGCCATTGCTGTTTGGAAGAGCCGAGTGCTATTCCAGATCATTCGGAACACTGATCCGGAGTAACCAGCAGTTAGCGAGACAATAGCTGAGAAAGTTGATTCGTTCTCAGCCTCCTCGACTAACCCGTTACGCTCAACATTTTGAAGTGCAGTTCAGCAGGCTTGCTGCGACACTGTCACTTGCCGAGTCACACCACCCATTTTGAAAGAGATTCCACATGAGCTTTCCGTGTTGAAATGAATCAAGGCTCCTGAAGCCAACGATCTTTCTCCATCTTTGTTGAAAAATGGAAATGAATCCTTATTAGCTAGACTTGTTTCTCTATTTCACACTACTTCGAACACGGAAGAAGTGGCTTCAGTCTGTCAACTGCCAACTATCGTGTCCATCTTCAAGAAGGGTCAGCATACTTTGGACAAAAATCATCCAAGCATTAGCTTAGATTCCGTTCCATGCAAACTTTTCACGGGTATCATTCTTCGACGACTTACTGGCCCCGTGAGAACCCAATCACTGGAAACCAAGCTGGATTCCGCCCCGGTCGTTGTTGCATCGACCACATAGTTACTATTCCCCATGTTTTAGATCAGAAACACACATTCAGACGACCGACTATGGTGGTTCTCCTTGACTTTACGGATGCTTTTGACTATGTTCACCGCGCCAGTTTGTGGCAGCCGCCTATCCATGAAGAGTGTGCTAGCTAAATTCCTTTCCATCATGCAGTCTCTGTACTGTGACTCCCAGGGAACTGTCTCCTGAGTACCCCACGACAAGTGGGGTTGGCCAGGGTCTCCTTCCCTCTTCAGCTTTGTGATCGGAATGAGCATATATGACTCGGTTTTTTCAGACTCTACCGGTGTGGAAGTTCTAACAAGTGACCGACTGACAAATCTGGAGTATGCGAACAACATGGCTCTTTTTGGGTCTGACGCATTGACTTTGCAAACACTACTGGATAGATTGATGCGTAACGCTATACCCTTCAGCATTTGCTTTGCACCTTCAAAGTGTAAAATACTGTTACAGAACTGGACCGACACACCTCCGGTTCTAGCTATCACCGAACAGCCACGGGAAGTGGTGGATCAGTTAACTTCGCAACTGTGCCACCTTTGGTGGCCACATCACTGAGGGAATTCCTCCGCATATCAGCAAGACCTGTGTCTTTCCAGAAGATCAACTAACTATGGAGGCGGCGGGATATCAGCCTGTCAGTAAAAGGTAGGGTGCATAACGCTGCGGTCAGGCAAATCCGAAACCGGATGCAGCCAACCAGGTATAACGCTGCGGTAAGCCCGGTGTTGCTGTAGGGATCAAAGATCTGACATTTCGCGGCGAAGACACTAAACACTTGATCGTGTTTGACCACCGGTGCTTGCGGTTTGGTGAGTCATGACCGCCGCATCGCAGTGTTGATAAACGGACATTTGTGGTTTTGTAAGAAGAACGCCTGCCAAGCGAAAACCATGGAACACTGCCACCAAAATATTTGCTTTAACAGGTTTAATTCGAAACACCCAGCTGGTACCAAGAGAAGGTTGTTCGGCTAGCCAGCCAGTTATTGCAACCGAATCCATTGCATCTCGATGCTCACAGCATAGTTATTTTACTGAATCTAATTGATCAAATTACAACGTACCCACTTATCACTTTTCTTTTACACATGCCCTTGTGTCGGTTACATTGACAAAACTTGTTCATTGGTGTTTCTCACTAGCCACTGCAGATCCTTGGCAGTACAATTCATTAGAACACAAAAGCCTGTACTCTGACGATCGGACTTCGTTTGTACTTAAGACTGCAGCTCCTGTGAATGAAAAAAATCGGAAATTTTCGTTAATAATATTTTTCTAAATACCGATTTGTGTTCCCTATATAATTACAGGTGGATGGTGACGTTTCCCAGTTTTGGGCTGCCTTAGTAAACTGTTGGTTGCAAACCAGCCTTCTTCTGTACCATCCTCCATCCTAAGGAATGCTGTTTGGCCTTTTTATACACCTCACACACAGGGCGCAGGTGGACATAGTCTTCGCGTACTACTCTAATGACTAAATCGTGTCCAGCACACGCTGTTGCAGTTGCACTCTTTTATTAATGGTCGATGTGCTTTTCTCGTCCATCGGTGCTGCTTACCTTTTCACTGCCGCGCGTTTGTTTTCTTGGTTATCGTTGCACAGCCTCCTGCAATGATTCGTTCTCATCTACATATTTACTGCTTTATTGACCTACATTTTACCACTCAAATTTCTATTTCTCTCTTTTTCTCGATCCAGTAAACATGGCACTCGCTGCGCCGGACAAATTGCCGCAGAGGGAAACAACTCTGTTTGCATGGTTGGCATCGCTTACAACGCCCGTATAGGAGGTACGTAACATCCTGATCATTCTCTTCTCGGTAACACTGACTTAGCGCCCAACTATAGTGGCCCTATTTTCTTGTCATGATTTCTAAAAAGAATTAGGTCGATGGATTTGCCCTTTTATCATATGACCGGGCACGGACATTATGGTTCCTCTTGTACTGCTATTTCACGACTGTTATTTTTACTACGGTATGCTCCTTGTCAGTAATATATCATTTTCGGTGGCCCAGTTTGTGGTAGATTATTTTCTGCACATTTCTATTAGGTTCGGCTCACTGATATTGGAAACACGACCGCACGACAAAACTGAAACTTAACATGAAGCGTCGCTTTGCATGCATCTCCGATCCGTTGTGTTATGCTGAGTGGTACTCGCGGGTATTTCGGGCTACCCCCATCAAATCGATCCATGATTAGTGGTGAGATGGATGTAGTTTCCGCATCCGATAGGCTGTGTTTGAACTGAAATTTTCCGTGTTATAAACCGTCAGTTCGCTGTCACTGCTATACACTCGTGATGTTCAGTCGTACGCTTTGGTTGTGGACCCTTATCTCTGGTAAGTGTAGTTCCCCAGGCTGCATAGAAGCGCGACTTATCCAATAAACCCTTACCATCAGTTGTTGCATACTCTTACGGGGTTCGACTTACTTGCTGCACACAACAGACGAAATTGGCCGCTGTCATTGCCTTCTTTCTCTTCCGTTTGTTCCTCTTCGTCACCAGAATGTACAATTCTCACTCGGTTTCTCAGTCCAGTTTGCTTTTTCCCAAATTGTTGCACGCTTCTGGAGATACTGATGCAGTGAATGCAGGTTTCACTTGGCTATGGGCTGTTCTCAGCTCCATGCCTGAATCCACGCTGGCTGGTTGGATCCCTGCTAAAAGCCAACTGTGTGCAGCCTGTTTTACAACACCGATCTTGGCTAGAGCATGGGGTAGCATCATCCAACACCTTAACTGGATTGTTACCTTTGCTGCAACCCACTTCAGTACGAACACTGCTACGGATACCATCTACTGTGAGCCTAGTAGGCTACTACGTAATTTCATTAGTCCTCACAGCCTTAGTTTCCTAGGCTATGTATGCGCAACCAGGCCATTCAAGCTCCACAAATGCTCCGTTAGCTTCTACGTTCGAACTTAATTCCAGGCTCATATACGATCACGAGTGCATCCGACAACGGAAATAAGCTGCTTCTTATCGGTACTGCCTTGTGGTCAGTGGACGCCAATGTTCTCTTTCCAGTACTCTAATCCATGGATAGCGACGGAACCAAGCAGATCGCACCACCCTATGACTCGAGCGCTTAGATTGCACTCTCGACTGCATATCGATTTGTATGCATTGTTTTGGCCTGGATTCTGCATCTAATGCAGATTTTTCTTCACTTCATTATGTAGGCCATCTCGAGAGGCTGCTTCTGCCCACAAATAGTGCGAGCGATAACGAGCCGCTATGAATATCATACATCCACTATCTTCTCCCAGGTGCTCGAATTTCAATGGAACACAATTCCCGTTGTCACACACGGTTTTTGGTGGGACTATCTGCCAGTACTCTTACTTACTTGACATTAGGTGACTCGGTAGATCTGCGATGATTCGATTGGAGACTTCCCCTTGGCATCATGCGCAATGCGACCGCTGCGAGCCTAAACGAATCTTGCGAGTTAATAGTGAATGTTAGTATAATTAGGTGTCAGAAAACGAAGCAAGCGCCAAAGGCGTGTAACCACTGGCCGTTGCATTTGATCCACGTCTCTGATTATGAGGATTCATGTTTAGTTAAGTCCTCTGGTACAACTTCGTCACTTTAGCTGACTAAAATGAACTCATCTAACTTGTTGAGCGTAACTGTTTCGAGACCTGTCCTTGAGCTGTTCAGCTTTAATTTGCATGGTTTAACCATGTTGGTTAACTTCGACGCTATATATACATCTGTAGTTTGAAATGGCATAGTGCTGCTTCGAATCATCCGTCTTCACTGTCTGGGGATACTTTTCGAGGGTTTGAACCGAATGCGGCTGGTCTATCTTCCTAGCAGTGGTCGATATACGCCATCGCATCTCCTTACTTAGTGTCTGGCATCGGTAGCGACCAAGTTACTATCCCCTATTGCAGCCCTCCTTCCAATGAGACGGAACTGCTATGTGAGTGAATAATAATCATGTTTTGCGCGACTTCGTGGTCCTGCTGCATCCATCCGTACTATGCAGTAGGCTTTCGAGCCCCATCGCGCATACCCCAGGCCTGCGATAGCTATGTTTTTGGTTTTCAGGACCACTGCCTTCTGCTCGATGCACGTGTTCCAATGAAAAATGTGGCCCTTTTTGCATATCTTGTGGTCGAACACCCACATTTCATCAAATGATATGCTTAACCACCAGTTGCCTTTTCAAAAGCACTTCATGTTTGCCACAGATACCCCATTTGCTCATTTCTGTCCTACTTTATCACGTTTGCACTTTCACGATGAGAGCTATTCCTCATGGGATTTGGACCTGGTTCATTTGGTTTGTATTGGTCTGATGCGAACCATCGAAAACAAACTTGTTCGCCTAACCGTCTTTTGCTTCTGGTTTGTAGATCTCAATAGTCATCAACGATTTGAATCTCATTGTCTATAGTGCATTGTTGATGTCATGTGGCCCCATTATGTGCACAGTGATCCGTTACATGTGTGGATGCTTGCATATTGTCAAGCTAGTGCGTTAGTTTGACTACTATGGTTGGATAGCGTGGGCGCATGCTATGCATGCTCGTCCGCTTCTCATCGTGTTACTTTCTTTTGAAGATTCACTATCGGTTGGCACAAAAGGAGTGCAATCACTGGCTTGGTATCAGGAGAAGAACTCGCTTGCCACTAAGCTGTGATCCACACTACCTACACTGCATTTGACTCGGAGCCTATGGGGGCATGGTTCGTAACTGACACCGGCCTCGTGTTTACGTTTTTATGATGAAACGTCCTGTTTAGTGTCTGCATGTCTTTAATGTGTGCGTGATGGTTTCAGGTTATCTGTGACACGACGTCGCAGAATAATGTAAACCATATGAAACTATCCCGACAATTCCGCTTTACTTTCTTACTACATATGGTTGTTTTGATCGCACCCTACTAGCAAGGTGTAAGTATCTTGATTGTCAATGTTTGCTCAGCGTGCCTACCTGTGCTCTTAGGTCCGCCTCTCGCCTTTCTTTGTTACTGCGCACAGCGATCAGCCAGTACACAGCGCTTGTGTACTCTTGCTGATCCTGGTGGAGATGAAGCTCAACGTTTTCACACCACTTCACGCGTTATGGTGGGTTTTCGTCTTTCAAGCATTCTCCCTATAAAAGGCCACAAATGTCTGTTTAACAACACTGTGAGGTGGCAGATGACTCGCCACTAAATAAAATCACTACCATCTGCCTTTTCGGACAATCTCACCCCATTCAAGAAAGTCAGCCACTTCGAAGATATTATTTCATCCCTTTTTATGTTGGCGAATTCACTGAACAAAACCACAAATACAGCACAACAGTAACAAATTCACTCGACATGATTACTCACCCAAGCATTTACATAACTCCAGTACGTACTGATTAAAGTATAACCTTTGTGTTCAATTATTGACCCTATGCGTCTGTATTTTTGCGATCATGTCTTTTTAGGCATGTCCCGCACTGTCGGGAATAAAACACTTATTCATCTTTTGTGGAGGTTTTCGGTGTTCCCCTTTTCCATCGCTGCACTCCGCGATCGACGGTTTCGTTTGGTATGGACTCATCATGTAGAGAGCCGAGCTGGGAGTAAAACTCAGTACCTAGTGCTTGTCGCCTGTCGCCATGATCACTAGGCCATTTAGCTCCGTGAGCAGCGCTTAACACATCGATTACAAGTTGATTTTCAGATTTTGCAGCATCCGCCGTATGTTTTGAATTGCGACACGCAGTCTCAGTTGTGCCTTTAGTTGACCTAGAAATTCACATTTGCCGTTTCGATCACTCGAGTTTCGGGGTTCTTCTCTCCTATCCCCGCACTCCACGACGCGTTTCGTCCTTTTTTGGGCTCATCTCGACTTGCCTAGTCAAACCACAATATTTAAAAGTACAGTTTTATGCCTGTGTAGACATCTCATTGATTGGCCCAACTGCCATCTGCGTCAGCCATCTTGAATTTGCCCTGCCTTGTGACCCCGTCTCAAGCTACTTGTGGTTCGTGTTCGGAAGTTGTGGGACATAAAGCTCATGCACTTCGGTGCTTCGGCTGCGATGTTTTGTTCCATATTTCGTGCATTAGCTTATTCGCTGACGTGTTTCAAAAGTCTCTCGACATCCGACATCGGTTTTTCCAAGTTATATGTGATGACTGTCGCGGTGCAAGACATCAGAATACACAGCGATCGCCAACAACTACTGGAAAAACTCTCTTTCAGACAGGAACAAACCGTTCACCACATAGAGTCAAACGTCCACGTGAAATTACCTCTGTCACCTCGCCTTCCCTTGTCACTCCGCCATTTGCACCGACTGAGCCTCGTTCAATGTTCCCCACCGATGGAAGACTCAGACTCGGAACGTCTGAAATGCCGCTTCATTGATCGATCCGTGAATTTATCAGAGCCTATCTGTGAACCTCTGAACATTGAGGACCCATGGACCACTCAAAAGAGCAAGGGGCTACGTAATCGAGTTCAGGCGTCCCCTGCTGATAAACAACAACCCAAACAGATAAGCGCCTCTAGTTCTGCTCCCACAGGTTCATCACCGATTTCACTGGGGCATCATAATCTCATAGTCTTCAACATACCAGAGTCAAAAGATGAAAACCCTCAGTTACGTTATGATCACGATGTTGAGTTCCTCCAGCGGCTCGTCGATAGACTCTTGGATGTGGGTGAAGACAGTGTGACGATTAAACAAGTAATCCGAATTGGCCAGAAAACCAACAAGTCATGTCGATCTTTGAGAATCTCATTATGCTCCAGCTCATACCGCCTCGAATGTCAAGGCTGAAACGCATAGATGTTCACATTTGCCGAAACCTGGAACCCGAAGACAGGGATCGTTTGAAGACTGTGGTCATTGAGCTCAAACGCCGTACGGAAGAAGGTGAGACTACCTTACAAATTGTAAATTTTCGGGTGATCAAGAAGGGTGTACGAACCCATATCAACCGGTTGCTCAATCTCCAGGCACATCCCACGGTACCTCCCAGGACCTCCGTGTGGCATTCACCAAATTATGCAGCCTACTGAACGAACATAACGAACCTAACCGCTTCGCTGTTTCGGAGTGGCCGGACGTTTAAGGACTTGCAGGAGACTTGGCTGGACTCCGACGTCATACCCCAAGAACTCGCGTTGTCAGGATACCCTTGTTTCCGATGCGACCGAAAATCAAAGGCTCACGATAGCTCTGTTGTACATAAAATCGTCACTATCTGGAAAACTTATCAGCACCCATTGGAGCGAGGATAATTTATGCGAGCAGTTGTGGTGTACAATACGCCTCATACACGCAGAACTAATAGTGGGTGTTATCTACCGTAGTCCATTAAACCGTTGTTGCGATTGGCTACCACATATACAGAAGCAGATGAGCCACCCTCATTTCTTACTGATGGGGATCTAAATTTACCTAAGATATTTTGGCCAGACGTTCGACTTCTTCCCGGTCATGGCGACGTTGAGGCTCAATTCGCTAAAATGACCACTGAAACCGGGGCAACGCAATATGTTATCCAACCGATGCGCGTAACTCCGCACTCGGCATCTTGTCTGGACCTAATGTTTACGAGCTGCGAGCAGACGCTGAAAGTGATCCGAGTCCTGGAACCTCTGGTGAACAGTGACCACTACTCCTTTGTGGCAAGCATAGAACTGCCCTTACCGTAGTACAACTAACGCAAGCCGACATTCAACTATTGGAAGAAGGACTTCAACGGGCTCGTCCAAGCCGCAAGTCAGACTGATTGGACACTACCATAGGATGCGTCGCTTGGGCCTGTTGGTCATTAATGAAGGGGAAGCTTAACTCGCTATGTACTTGATTTGTTCCTCTGAAATATTCAAAAGTCGGACCTGTCAAACCGCATTGGTTTGATATGGAATATAGACAGTTAGCGCGACAGCGTCGCAAACTTTGGGATGGGTACATCAGCTCGGCTTGTGATGAGGATTACACGGTGTACAAGAAACAGCATAACTTATGTAACGCCGCAAAGATCAAGAAACGCCGGCAGTTCGATGAGGAGTTAGCATCCTCGGCCACAACTGCACCCAAGCGAATATTTGCCTACTTGAAACGTCAACTGAAACCTGGAGCGACCTAGCGGTCTTAGAGAGCTTGGACGAACAGACGCTCATTTCAAGCGCGGAGCGCGCGGACGCCTTGGCTACGTACTTTCTCACCGTATTTTCCAGTAAACCGGCGACTTATTCAGTACCAGCACAGGTTTCTCCAGTCTTGCTCGACAGCCTACAATGTGATGCAGTCGAAGTGTTTCAGCTACTCGTCAACCTCGATGGTGCAAAGCCCCGCGAACCAGACGGACTTCACCCACTAATACTCAAGTCCCTATTGAATGTCATCTCACCAGCCCTGACAAACCTATCCAATAAATCGCTCTCTGTAGGATCTGTCCCTAACGACTGAAAATGTTCGATAGTGAGACCACTTCCCAAGGGTGGTGATCCGAGTAAAGTAGAGAACTATAGACCGATCTGTTTGACTTCGATCTTATCCAAAGTTCTCGAGAAGCTTGTGAAAATATGTCTGCTGCCATTCTTCGAATCGATGGACGTATTGACGCCAACGCAACACGGCTTTACGAAAAGGCGATCCTGTATCACCAACTTACTGTACGCAAACCACCAGTGGGTACGAGCTCTCAACGAGCAGAAGGATGTTGACGTGGTGTACATCGACGTTTGACAGAGCGAACCACAATGTACTCCTTCGTAAACTGAGAACCTACGGAATTGGTGGCACGCTACTTCAGTGGTTACACGGGTTTATTGTAGGACGAAAGTTTAGAGCGCAGGTCAATAACTACCTGACAGACTGGTTCCCATCGACCAGTGGCGTGCCTTAAGGAACTGTACGTGGGTCAGTATTATTTATTATTCATATCAACGATCTTCCGCAGCAGCTGCAGTCACCACGTGCCCTGTTTGTAGATGATTTGCAACTTTGGCGGATCATTGAGAACCAGAACGACTGCGCTCACCTGCATCATGACTTAGATCGACTGTCAACGTGGTCCACTGAAATGCAACTCCTTCTTAACGCAGGCAAGTCGGAGTTCATCGTTAGTAACAAACGTGCATCCACTCGATCATACATCTGGGACGGCCAGTTGCTCCACCCTGACACATCTGTCAAAGACTTAGGAGTGCTTTCGCGACATGATATGAGATCAGAAAATACAGAGAAATTGTACCTTGCGGGACTTTTTATGCTCTGAGCATTACGACGCAGTTTCTCCACATGGTCCGAAGAAACCGACAGTCGTCTATTCATCTCGCTCATTAGACCAATCCTTGAATACGGCGTCCCAGCTTACCATCCGATAACCCAGTGGGAAACTGAAAAGCTAGAGAAAATACAGCATATCGTAACCAGAATGATACCGAGTCTACAAAAGCTCCCGTATGAAAAACGTTGTGAAAGGCTCGGACTCTACACACAATCTTACCGCCAAGAATTGACCTTATTATGACCCATCAAGTGCTACACTTGGATCACTTCCCCAAACTGCGGTTAATATTTCACCTGCAGGAACCCTGCAACACCCGAGGACACCGTTACAAACTGTGGGTCCCCTGCGTGAACAGAGTATCACATCAGCTTTGTATAGAACGACGAATCGTAAACTTGTGAAATACACTACCAGAAGGATTACTAGAGGTCGATTCTGTGAAGTGTTCTAAAACACTTATCGACGATTAGTTCGGAAACCTGTGCTTTTGTGAAGCGGTGCATATGCAATGCAAAACGAAGCATCGCATACCCGGAAATAATGACATCAATACGAATTCCTAACCGAACAAGGATAAACGATTAATTGACCAAACACTACCCCTGACAATCCACAATTAAATGTTTTGCCTTTTCATAATTCGGTAGAGTTGTATAGAAACCTTCGCTCTTAACTACAGGATCAGTCTCTGTACACATTGTATGCGAAAGTGTTATGCACGTTAGCTGGAGATGGGCAATACAATACATTTGAATAAGCTAATCGGGAAATAAGAAACCAATCGATAACAAAAATATTTTCATGCTCCATTTTTATCGTGCACCGAGAGTGAGATCGTGCTTGGAATGGGGACGGACAAAGGAACTCATAATACGAACATCACTAAGGTCGGCTTTTCGGCATCCCATTGAGCGTATCCAACAACTGCTGATACCTACCCTTTAATACCCAACTTCGTGATCATCTTTGCCTCCCATCCTGCTCGATATTTTTCTAACAGACTGGTAGGTCTTCTTAAACTCTACTCTAGTCACGTTGGTCAACTCACTGCCTGTCTGTATCAAGGAACATTTTCTCCGTGATGAGTGTTGCACACCAGATATCGCTACCAGATCTTCGGTCATTTTGTCATTTAGATGATATCGAACCTGAACCTTAATTGCTATCTCTAAGGTATTCTTTCCAGAAAAGTCGTCGCAGTTTTTCTGTGAAACGTTCGCATTTCGCTGTAACGCAACTCACCGTTTGTTCTAGAGACGTATTGTGCACATTTTATTGACCTGCTCTTCACCTACGTATTCCCAAGCGTAGGCGCTGTCCCATTGTGGACTTCGTTCGCGCAAATTACCCAAATGTGCACAACATCTGGTCATGGTTTACACAAATACCAATGATCAGCGTGTCACGCTTCCGGAACTAGACTACGTTCGCTTGTCTCTGTTCGAGGCCAAACGGGTTGCCACTGCAGTTCCCGTTTCACTTCTGTTACCTCTCTCTCTCATTTATTTTTTCCTCGCTGTTTCTACCTATTTTTTAATACTTTGTCTGCATGAGCACCATTATGTTTCATCTATACATGGTGGCGAACAAACTTGCTTTCACAGCCCTTACCTTTCTCATTATTTTCTGGATTCCGCATCAATTCTTTTTGTCTGTGTGTGCTGATGGGTGTTCGCGTCACTTGTTTCCGCTGGCAGTCTACTACTCTTCTGGGAAGTGTTTGGTAGCTAGTGCATAAGCGCGTCAACTAAGCCATCACTATATGCTGGCTCCATCAAAACTCATCGATTTCCTTTGGCAACTTCTTTTTTAACACCCTAGCCCAGATCATAAAACCGTAGCCATCTGTGTACCCTGATTCTTTTGTATTATCGTCATTACTCACAACTGCTATGCGTCCTTTCCTCTACTGGCTTGTCTTCACTGCTTCCCTCCTCCTGTTGTACATTCCCTTAATTTTTTACTCTCATGGTCTTAGGTATCCGCATGCTCGATGGCTACATTACCGATCGTCTGGAATCGGATACTTTGTCCTTTCGGAATGATTACATTCAAATCTACTCAGGAAGTTGGGGCCCCGAGGATAATGGCAAGTTATACGAGGGCCCAGGTGTACTCGCACAGTCCGCTTTCCAGCATGGCGTTGCCTCGGTGCGTTCGTTTTCGTTCTATGTGAATTGGGCTTCCTGTTTGCTGTACTTATCAGATGTTCGGTTATCTCAACCTCTTGTCCAAAATCAGATGTACTATGATTGATTGTTTGCTTCCTTAACATCTCATTTAGTCGTCTCCATTGATATATTCCGGTGTTGATCATGTCATCCTTAACTGTTCTTTACTGAAAGTGAGCCAACCACTGGTTGCTTCGGCAGAGCTGTTTGGTACGGGGTGCGTCTTTAGTTTGCGGATTGTGGAATGCCTTCCTTGCGAAGGTACTTGACTAAGTCTTATCTCTTCACCCGCAAGATTAATTCGCAGTCACGGGCAATAAGCGGCAGCATCTTAGAGCATAGGGGGTTCTGGAATGGTCAACTAAGTCTCTTTAACATATCACAAGTGCTTGCATGACGCTATGTCACCCTTTATGACCGGCTATATGGTCACCGAATAGAACTGAATACCTAAGAGAGAGCAAATGAACAACCCCGACTGCCATCTGTTTTGTGTGAACCCCGGACTCTGTGATGGCTTATGAGCTACATGGCTGTCAATAGCCTTCTTGCCTGGCAGTAAATTTCAGGATCCGGTGAATATATATATATATATATATATATATATATATATATATATATATATAATTCCCTTCAATCCCCATTGGCCCGGAGACACACTGTGCCCGTCATCGTGTGTTGTGAAGCGGACCAATGGCGTACAGTTGTTGGATCCATTGAAAGAGCTGATTTGCAAAGGCATTGTAAAGACCCGGTTATACTAGGACTGAGGTATGTACATATTGCACTTGCGGTATACACAGCCCGCGCGCGGCAGCGAAGCGCCGTTACGTTGTACAGTTGGCACGTTATTATTTTAGTTAGCGTCTCGTATTTCTTTCTTGCTTGGACCAGAGAATTTTTACGTGTCGAGCCTCACAACGAGTCTGTCGTCTATATAAATAGCTTATTGCCACAGCTGAGTATACAGCTACACCTGCCAACGGTTGTTTAATTGGATGTTATGCAGGCTGCTTCTTGTAAATTGGCTTAAACAGTTTGAGCACTTTTTCGAAAGCCGAGTATAGGGCAGGACTCAGCGTGGTTTACTAAATGTATTCTTCCTGTGATCGTGTCATAGCGGTTATCAGAGAATGTGTGATATTGCCGATTTCTAAGGCATATAGCAGACGGCATATGCAGCACACACTAACGAAAAGGCATCCGTTTTGTTGTACCACTTATTTGTGCATTATTCCACTTGGTAACCTTATTGATGGCATTTGCTTCCCTATTCCTGTACCTGTATCTATCTATCGTTGAGGCCCACACTTCTGACTAAATTTATGGCTGCCATTTAGGTTACCGTTTAAATCTTAACTAACCAACGACAGTCGTATTGGTTGCTTATAATTGTACGTGAGATCTTCCAACACTAGTGGAATATGACTGTTATTCTTACATTCAATCCATAGTAATGCACGTTCGAAGTGTTATTGCTCAGGAGGTTTATTGTTTCTCCATCCAGTTTGTAGTAGTTCATACACAAGTGTGAACGAATGCCTGTTCACCACATTGCAGTACTGCAACTCGAACCAGGGAGCTTTGGTATGTCAACTGATATCTCATGTTGAATGACTAAGTGGAAGCCACTTAGAAGCACTTGTAAGCGCCACACTTCAGCCTGAATGATGTTAAATGGGGCTCACCCAAATTACAAGTCCCGCTAACATCTGTTCGTGTCCCGCTACGTTCCCACTTGACAGATGGGTATTATTACAATTCTTCTCGTGTGACACCGTGACTTATTACGGGTTGTGATATGGGGTTAATGTGTCCCATCTCAAGTGCTTCTATACGCCCCCTTGTAGTGCTGCCACCTTCACATAAACGCACTGAGATTCTGATAAGTCATCAAGGTTGATTCCGGAACAGCGGCAGCACAATGTGACATCCAAATCGAAATGTTTGCATACAGGTAGCATTCTAGGCACTGATGAATTGGTCGATATATGCTAGTGGTCTGAATGAATGACCAGGGGGAAATAAATGGTAACACACGGTTCACATTTGACAGATTCACCCCATACTTACTGGGGTCCCGAGTACATGGCTCCTCATCTTGGTGCACTACAGTTAGAAGGATTGTCTTTCGGGCTAGATTACAGTCTGCCTCCTAGACGATTGATAAGATTGTTCATTAAGGCTTAGTTTGAGAACCTTTTTGATCAGTTGAAGGACCTTCAACCAACTAGTACCGATAAGCTTATATGGTTTAGAAACAAACTGACCGATGTTGCTTATGAAGTAAAAAAATGCGCCAATAAAAGAAAAGTGCACACTTACGAACAGACACCTACGAGCATTACGCGAAGTACGCGATAAGGTCGTTGTAATGAAGCCGGATAAGGGTTCAGGCGTTGTAGTCATGAACAAAGTTGAATACATCGAGAAGATGAGCATCATACTCAGTGACACTAACAAATTTAACCGATTAGAGAAGGCAGGGGATGTGACTGCATTCGAATCCCGAATCATTCGCCACTTAGAAATGCTTCATCAGTATCACGTGATCGACAGCGTTACTTATGACAGTTTAAAGCCGAATGGATCAACTACGCCACAGTTATATGGGTTTACAAAAACGCACAACAGCGGATTGCCGCTCAGACCTATCCTCTCGATGACGAACGCACCCCAACATAAATTAGCTCGCTGATTGGTTAATATGCTTTCTCCGCCAAAAGCTCAGTTTAATCTATATATCCCCAAAGATTCCTTCGAGCTTGTCGAAGACCTCGATAAAATAAACTTGTCCGATAAGGTGATGTGTTCCTTAGATGTGAAATGTTTATTTACTAACGTGTCGCTACACCAGACCGTTGACTACATCTGCGAATAAGCAGAAAGTTCCGAATGTCCGTTGCCAATTCCAGTTAAATTCTCAAGAGAACCATTACTTCTATGCACAGAGAATGTCGATTTCCACTTCCGAAACATACCGTATCGCCAAATTGATGGCGTAGCCTTGGGCAGCCCACTGGGCCCCATACTAGCGGATTTCTTTATGCTAATGATAGAACGAAGCCTATCCGAAGAAATAGCGCAGTTACCCTATTACAAATGTTACGTGGACGATATCTTGGTGTTCAGTTCGACAGAAATGCAAATCGCAGAGCTAGTGGCGCGTTTTAACTCTGCGCATGCCAATTTGAGGGTTTCCTGTGAAGTCGAACAACAGAACTGTCTTCCATATTTGGATGTTCTTATCAGCCGCAGGGACGACGGACTGGTAAAACAGTCTGTCTATAGAAAAACAACGTGGTCGGGATAGTATCTGCATTCTAGCAGCTTTACGCCAATGCGGCACAAACGAACACTTGTGAGGACCCTGTTTAGTCGCGCCAGACGAATATGTTCGAGCGATTGTCTAGCCGATGAACTAGAATTACTTACCAACACGTTAGTTGCTAATGACTACCCTTGAAAATTTATCCGGAAGCACAGTGAAATTTGTGAAATGAAAGTTGCTATACCTACAGTGCCTAAGAAAAAGGTATTCTTGGAGCTGCCTTTTAAGGGTGACATTGCTTCTTTGAGGACCAGAAGACGTCTGATTTCCGCCAAAAAGATCACTTTCTGTGCTGCCGAAGTTGTAATCATCGACCGAACTCATAACCTACCGATGCTTCTACTAAAGGAAACTCGGCCTATTGGCGCCAACTCCCACTGCGTATATCAATTCGTATGTGACTGCGGGGATAGTTACATAGGCAGAACCAATGGAACACTGAGTTCCCGAATAAAGGAGGATGTACCAAAATGGGTTCAGTGCGGACTTATTCAGCAAACAAGCCCAACTCAGACTACATGTGTACGCAGGCCGCCAGCATCTTCGATCGGCGGGCACTTATTGACATCGGGTCACCGAATTGAGGTCAACAAGGCGTTTCGAATCCTGCTTCGCCAGACTAATTCATGGCTCCTCCGGTTTGCCGAGGCTATTGCCATTAATCGGATTAAGCCAGTGCTTTGTGTTCAAAAACAATTATCGGTCAGCCTTAGGCTGCCCTGGTTGTAGAAGAAAGACACCTTCTTTCTCTCGTTTGTTTGCATATATGTCTGTACCCACAAACCGTTATATAAAATTACCGGTTATCGTTATCGGCACTGATGAGACGATACGAAATGCATGCATCTGCCGAGCTTCATCTTCTAATTGTGCTTTTCAAGATTGTTTAGGTGCAATGGAAGACACTATTGCACGTGAAATGGAAGCACGATGCGTACGGTCCCTATTTGATTTACTAATCCAGGCTAATATTGCGGCGTATGTGGTACGTTTACCTGCGTGCTGCGTACTCTTGAATTTCAGAAGTAGATGTTGTTTAAGTTCCCCGGTGTGGCTGCGCCTGATGTGCAAGTTGACTAGGTGCCTACTTGTCTGTTACCCACTACCTCGTTCATACTGGCTGCAGAAGACAGTTGGTCGTTGTTGGAGGGGACGGGGTGCGCCGTCCTGGTGACGGTGCTAGGCTCAAAGAGTGGTTACATCCTGTGCGAAACAGACAATGGTCCAGCCACCGCCATGTGTACGTCTGCTGTGCACGATTTCCCAATTAGGCCGGAATGCTTCTGTCCTGCTTATTGAAAGATTGTGGGCCGGCTCCAGAGATGAAACGTGGCTCCCGTCCACATGCCTCTCAGTCTTATTTCTTTTAGTTTATACCGGCTATGGGTGTGTGTGGAACTGTGGGTGGTGCAGCGCAAGCCACCCATGGTCCCTCTATAGGCGCAGACGTCCTGTGACTGTCCCCATGGAGGTCACAATGACAGCAAATCCGGATACTAATGCCGCCTAATGGATATATTCCCAGTCTGTTAACAGACATTGTGCCATCAGAACCATGGCCGAAGAAAGAAAAGTGGAAAAGATAGAAACACGAAATGCGATTTGAAAATTGAAAAACCATTTTTTGATTTTACACACGCCATGTTGAT